GAGAGAGAGAGAGAGAGAGAGAGAGAGAGAGAGAGAGAGAGAGAGAGAGAGTTGTTGTGGTTTAGGTGGGGTTGGAATGGTGGTGAGGGTGGCTATGGGTTTGGGGTTGGAGTGGTGGTGGTGAGGGTGGCTGGGTTTGGGAGGTGTTTGAGGTGTGTGGGTGAGATTAGGGAAGGTGAAATTTAAAAAAAATATATTCCATTTTCAAATTGAATTTAAAATTTTATAATCAATTACCGTTTTTATAATTAATTTTAAATATTTTATATTTTATATTTTTAAGGGAATGGACCACATTGACTAATATATATAAACACAAGAACCAAATTGGCCAAATTGATAACACAGGGACTAAATTGGCCTATGAGATATAACACAAGGACCATTTTAACATTTAAGCCTATTTTTTTTAATAGAGTCGATCAATTAAAATATTTAAGTTCAATAATTCCTTTACATTATTGGACGGCTTGCTGGATTGAAACTCTCAACACACCTCCTTAACGTAGCCCTAGCATTATAGAAGCTCCACGTGGTGTCAATGTCAACCAAAACATTAACGCCAATTTGGGAGTGTTTATGTAAAGAAACCCTTATGTTCAAACTACTTTTGCTATAAGCTTTTTTATTAGGAGCACTACGACATTTTTACCAAAAACTCTGAAATTCTAAAATGTGGTGTTATTATCTTTATGTGGAAGGGCTTTTAGCTTTCTATGTTAAATACTCATCATTGAGACCAAAGGTTATGTTTGTTTTTCTTGTTGTTGACTTGTCTTTTTGAATTCCCATTTTTAATTTTTAGGCAAGAATGGAAAGCCAATTAAGTATTCATTTTTTACTAGATCAAATAGACAAAACAAGTAGGCAGAACAAGTTTTAAAGCTCAAGAGCAGATAGTACAGAAGCTGACAGCTTTTAGCCTTGTACATTTCTCCATAACGATTAACGAAGTCATAGGACCGACCGAACAAGGCACCCCCATCATCTTGTATATATAGTCTAATCTGTATGGTTAATGGCTATAAGCGAAAAAGGGTAAATCTCTCTGCTATCAAAAGTCAAGGGCTTGTCATGGCTTCACAGATCACATTGGCAATGTTTGCTCTGTGTTTTGCCCTACTAGTTATGCTTGGTTCTGCAGCTGACATGCCAGGCATGCCCGGTATGGGGGCGGCTACCCCGGCAGCGCCACCCTCTGGTAGTGGCTTCACATGTCCATCAATGGCTGTTGCCTTCTTTGCTTTGGTTGCTGCCTTTGTTGCCTAGAGGAGGAAGAAGCTCTGATCGCTGCCTCTGTTAATCTTACAGTTCGTCTCAGCTTACGGTTTCGTTTGTAATCTGGATTATGTAAATGTCAGCATGGTATGTTTGGAATTTCACATGTCATAGTTTCTGTTTAATTTGTTTTTGTGATGTTGGTTGGAATTTTGTAATAATCTGTGCTATATGCTTATTCCAGCATTGTTTGAATCCTTTAATATGGAATAAAAGGTCTCTAAATTAAAAACCTGAAAGGTGCTGGCTGTTACAAATATATGAAACCATCCATATGCACACTCAAAACGCACATACTCAAAGGCACAAACATAAAAGAAAGAAGGAAAAACTTCATTTACCATCTGGTGGAGATATCAAGGATTTGGTTAACAAGACCAATTGAGATGAACATACAAGTGAGCTGGATTTGTAAAACAGACTGAACTTGTGATATGACTTTAAATCATAAATATATACATAACCGGCAAGTCTCTGTAGAACTCCCACCATCCAGCTTGAAGAAACACCAATGGAGGAACAAGTAAGTTGTATACTTGACATTTAATGAAACAATTGGAGTAAGTAAGAAGAAGGGACTTTCAGATATGAAGGTGCAACTTCCCAGTCGAATCTGATAGGTAAGAATGGGCAAAAGCTGCATGTATTGCAGCACCAATAGGAAGCACATCCTCATCAATGAAAAAGTAAGGACTATGTGGTGGATATATGGCTCCTTTCTTTTCATTTCCTGTGCCTAAAAATAGCATTGACCCAGGTACCTTATCCAAGTAGAAAGCAAAATCCTCACTCCCCATGAAGGTAGGAGCTAATTTTGTGTTTTCTTTTCCTACTATTTCAGTTGAGATGCGTCTTGCTTGTTCGTAAATTCTCTCATCGTTTACAGTAGGGGGGATGCTAGGATGTTCATTTCCTAAGAATTCAATCTCAGCAGAGCACCTATGTACAGCTGCCTGCCCTTTTACAACCTGACAGGAAGAAAGTGGTTTGAATAAACATTCAAAAAAGAAATGTCTTTGATGTTAAATACCTAATTAGGAACTGATATACTTCGATCTATATGGGAAATTTGTTACCTCTTCTATTCTTTCCCTGATTGCATTGAAGCTCTTCTTGCTAAAAGCTCTAAAAGTACCGGAAATTGTAGCTGATTCTGGGATGATGTTAAATGAAGTCCCTGCTTGAATCATAGCTACAGAAACCACCTGCATTAATGGTCAATGCATTGCTCAGCACTGTCTTACAAAATCCTGCATTTTTCTAAATAATTGCAGACCAAATTACACAAATAAGCAATATACCTGGGAATCTAAAGGGTCTGCCTCTCTCGAGACAATGTTTTGCAAGCTAATCACTGATGCTGATGCTGCTACAATTGGATCAATGGATTGTTGAGGAATTGCTGCATGACCCCCTTTTCCATGAATCTTTGCTTTGAAGCTCCCACAACCAGCTAGAAATTCTCCAGGCCTTGATGCAACAACACCACTTGGATATCTATGCACTACGTGCAACCCAAAGATGGCCTCCACATTATCAAGCACCCCTTCTTTGATCATGTCCTTCGCGCCTATGCCGCGTTCCTCAGCTGGTTGGAATATAAGAACAACAGTTCCCTGCAACAACGTGATAGTAGATTTATAAGGTGACCGAAAAAAGATGAAAATCTTAAATATATATATATATATCAAAGAATGATCATAACTTTACCTGTAATGTGTCTTTCAGTTGTTGAAGTACTTTAGCAGCACCAAGAAGCATGGCAACATGCGCGTCGTGGCCACAAGCATGCATTTTTCCGTCCACTTTGCTCTTGTGCTCCCATTCCACCAATTCCTATACTCATATGCAGATGCAATGTTGTCAATACAAAGTGCTTTTTGATTAAGAACATCAAATTGAACACTACACTTGATGCTTTTGATTATTTCTCTCTTTTCCTACATTATGATTTTGAGCTATATAAAGCTCAGCTTTTGTCATGTTCTGTATGACATTGCGGGGGAGATAGAAGGGTTCTCTGTTTCACTTCACATGCTCATCAACAAAAACTCGAAAGGCTACGGTTCTATGGATCAAGGAAAAGTAGCCTGCTGTACCATTTATGTCTTAGTCGTTTTACCACAATTACTTGTCACAAGCACTTTGATTAAAAGCTAACGAAAACGAACACAGAGCAGAAATATATACATCTATGTGATTAAAACCCAACAATTGAATTGCCCTTGCAAAAACAAGGCTAAAAAATTTGTATCTGATTTCCTTGACAAAAGTATATAAGGATCAAAGCAACAGAGTATATCAATCTGATCAAACCCAACAATTAAGGTAAACAAATTTAAACTAAATTGACTTAGCTAACCTGAATGGGCAAAGCATCCATATCTGCTCTCAGAGCAACAAAGGGAGGAGAGCCAGAGCCAATAGTGGCCACCACACCAGTATGCGCCACAGGCCATGTATATGCAACACCAAGCTTGTCAAGCTCGCGCCTAATGAGTGCACTTGTTTTGAATTCTTCATATGCAAGTTCTGGGTTTTCATGGATTTCTCTCCTCACATTCTTCATCCAATTTACTGTGTGAAACTCATTGACCAGCCCAACTATCTGCTTTTTCAATGAATAATCCTGATATGTGGTAGACAAGTTGGGAGTAGGAACTTGGAGGTTGAGAGAAAAGCACAAGGTTGTGGTTGCGGCAATGGAGATTAGGAACAAAAGTTGCAGAAGGTCCATGCTGCCAAATGGTAGATTCAATATTTCTAACTAGTAGCTAGAAATATTATATATACAAGAAAATTATATAGATAATGATAGGAAAGACTTTTCTACTTGGAAATTTAATTTCTCCAAGGTTGGGGAACGAAGAAAATCTGAAACCCAAGCATGGTAGTCATCAAAGAGAGATTATATATGCATGATTCTATTTAGGATTTTGCTTTTTGACTGTTTGTATCAAAATTGGTCAAAATACGTGGTCTAAGAATATTTCAATAAGATTCACTGTTTGTGTCATTATCAGAATTCTTTCTGACTGTAGATCAACTCCTGTTTTGGTACAGGAAAAATCCTTAATCAATATTAGTGCACAAGCATGAATTTCCTTAAAATCTTCTAAATCACATATTTTAATTACAAATTTTGGTACAAACAACGACTTTATTTGAGCGACGCCCGAGTTAGATTGGACCCCACCAAATTATGTGGAGCAGATTGGAACAGCAACAAGATGTGTGGAAATAAAAAGAAAAACAACAAAAAGTCACGTGTTGAAATTTGGTATAGTAAGAGACGTGTATTGTGTGAATTTGGAAAATCGCAACGACCTCTCCTCGCCCTGGTTTACCTGGAAGAACAATTAGCCTAATTCGTTGTAATTTCTAATTGCACTTTTCTCTTTTCAATCACAAAAAACGTGCATAAATAAGTTAACTTGCAATTGCAAGGTCATATTTTCCACTGTCATGCGTCACTGTTTAAGTCTCAAGTCTTCAATCTGGACCTTTCTCAAATTTGCATGTGATTAATGTGAAGAAAATGATCCTTGTGATTGTGGAAGAAAAATATATGCTGACCAAACTTCATATTCCCACTGTCCACAACCAATGAATCATTATGGCATCTCTTTAATAGGAGTGAGACGTGCATATTTTTCTGGGTTTTCTATGGTTTTGCTCTTTGAACTATTCATATATTGTTTATTTAACCTTTTAATAATTTATTGGGTAAATTAAGGACTCCAACTTCGTAAAAATTGCCAATTGAGGGTCTACTGTCAGATTCTTAAGACTCTCATCCACTTTGTTGTCAGTTTTTGCACGTGACCTATTTTGAAGGATAAATTCGTCATTTCACAACCCAACTCTTATTCGAGTATTTTTTTTGACATTTGCACAATTTCTTCATTTCCTTAAATTCACCGATTTTCCAACTCATTTCCTTAGATTTCTGCACCAATTGATCCGAAAAAATTATTAACGGGCTAAATTAACAATATGCAAATAATTTAGAAGAAAACTGCATTTTTATTAAAGAAATAATAACACGTGGTTCTTCTAAATTTACCTTCATTGGAGGAAGGGTCAGTAAATGCGGTTAGAAAAACATCACTCTTTTTATCAAATCATATTCTTAGGCCCAAACTATGGTATCTTAGGCAAGGAGCTTCTTCAATGAGAGGGTTATGGTGAGGAAGTGTATTGAGGGGTTTAATCTGGACGTCCGATGATAGATTTGCAAATGATCTTATGGTTATTAAGAATTCTCTCATTATAACCCCTCGTTACAGTCTTGCAGTGGGAACTTGCCCCAGTCCAACCCAAAGCCATGCAAATTAAACAGAGTCAAACACATGCACAGCCCTCCCCTTCCCTTCCCTCCTGCAAATCCTCTCTTCCACAGAACACATGCCGCAACATTCTCTCCTATCTTTCTCCCTACCCTCCATTCACCCACAGGCCACAAACAAGAAGAAGAAGAAGACGCATTACATTGATCATGCACATCTCCATCACCACCTAGCTACCTCCTTACCTTCTCTCACAGAAACCAACCATGGCGTTTCATTTCCATTCCCATTCCCAATTCCTTCTCTTCTTTTTCCTCACAGCAGGGCTAGCTCTACTCTTCCCCTCCACAGCAGAACCCCATCTCACCGAAAACTACTACGAAAAAACATGCCCCAAATTCAACGACATCGTCCAGCAAGTCGTGACCGACAAGCAAATTGCCACCCCGACGACCGCCGCCGCCGTCCTCCGCCTCTTCTTCCACGACTGCGTGCTGGAAGGCTGCGATGCCTCCCTCCTCATCGCCTCCAACTCCTTCAACAAGGCGGAGCGCGACCATGACACCAACGTCAACCTCCCTGGCGACGGCTTCGACACCATTGCCCGCATCAAGACCTCCCTCGAGCTCCAGTGCCCCGGCGTCGTCTCCTGCGCAGACATCATCACCGCTGCCACCCGTAATCTCGTCAACATGGTCGGCGGGCCCCACTACCGGGTCAGCTTCGGCCGCAAGGACGGCCTCGTGTCCCGAGCCGACCGCGTCGACGGCCACTACGCCAAGACCAACATGACCATGTCCGAGATCATCAACCTCTTCGCCTCCAAGAAGCTCTCCGTACAGGACATGGTCGCCCTCTCCGGGGCCCACACCATAGGCTTCTCCCACTGCAGGGAGTTCAGCAACCGGATCTTCAATTTCAGCAAGACCTCCGACATCGACCCGACCCTCAACGCCAATTTCGCGAAGGGGTTGAAGAACCTCTGCGCAAATTACACAAGTAACCCCGGCATGTCGGCCTTCAACGACGTCATGACCCCAGGCAAATTCGACAACATGTATTTCCGCAACTTGCAGAGAGGGCTGGGCTTGTTGAGCACGGACCAGGCTATGATGGTGGACGAGAGGACGAAGCCGCTTGTGGATCTCTACGCGTCGGACGAGAAAAAGTTTTTTGAGGATTTTGCTCAGTCTATGATCAAGGTTAGCCTTATGAACGTGAAGACAGGGAAACACGGAGAGGTGCGGCGCAGATGCGATGCCTTCAACAATCTGAAGACTTAAAACAAGAAATTAAGAATAATATTTTGTCCACTTAATTCAGGTCCTCTGTTTGTGAACTTGCAACCGATGTAATTTTTCATTTTTTGATTTCTCTTAAAGTTTAGAAAGACGGAACTGTTGTATCTTCAAGATACACAGCTGCAAATTTTGCACGCAACATTCATAATCAATCACAAACATGTATCCTTGAGAATTTGTATAAGGAAACCGCTTCTAGTATGATGTCTGTTTAGTACCGCCAATTAGGCCGTTACATTCATGGAACAAAAGAAACTAGCCAAGAACAATTGGGTACTTGTGCAGGAGCAAATACATCCACTGCCATGCTTTTCATTCCATAGTCCAAAATAACTACCCGTGCAATGAGTTGACGAATAAACTATGTCAATTTACATGTGTGATTGATAACAATGCCGGCATAAAAGAATAACAAGGGAATCAAGAAAAATTAAAGAATTTTACAATGACGATGAGTTGCTGTCGTCTTGCCATGCCAGAGTAATGGAGCCAAACATATCCACTTGCATCATTATTTAACACACTCTGGTCTACCAAAAGCTTAGCCTTGTACTTCGCTTCAATGGATGCTAAACAACCACAACCAAAAACAGGAAAGAGACTGTCTGGTTCCCTGCAGCATATAGAGGTTATCTTTAAAATAAAATCAAGATACCATCAATGTGGAAGACGGCAATGTTAACAGTAAAGGTTATGACTCTCACCCTGGTCAGCAAGGTTTTCTTTTGTCGACCTTTAAGTGAATGTTGAACCATTTTTTCCTCTTAGACCGATCTCTGAATGTAGATTTCTTATCTCTCACTTGACCTTCTTCGTTGACCTCCTTAGACTGACCCTTATTCCTACTCCTACTTGAACTCCGCTTCATTGGTGGAGCAATTGTATATGAGGCATGAATTTCATTCCTCTGCTTGAGAAGCTCATCAATCTGAGAATAACCCAACATAGAGGGGGAAAAAGAAGCAGAAACCGAGTGTACTTCAAAACTATCAATGTGTACAAGAACATCATCTTTCAAATGCTGTAATTCATGGAAAAAGTTTTAAAGAATGTCACCTCTTGCATTTCTTGTGTATATCTTGAGGTCATCTCTGTAAATTGTGCCAGAACCTGTCAACAAGCCATGTGAAAACTAAGATAAAGGTATTTACAATTTATAAAGGTATATGCAGTGCTCATGTCATGTCCAGACCTCTCTGTACTCGGTTTCAAATTTCGACAACTCCACTCTTTTTGTTAGTATTTGAGCTTCCACGGCTCTCAAATTTTCCTTCTCTTCTGTAAAAGGTCCACAAGAAAGAGCTTCTATTGTGTAGCTTGCACTTTTGAAAAAATTGTCACCTAGAATAATTTGCCAATACAGAGATGGTAGTGAGGTTTAACCAAGCACAGCATAACCGAGAATCATCACATACCAAAGTCGAAATACAAGTCAGTAAACAGAAGTTACAAACCATAAACAGCAAACACATGGGTGCCTGCTTTCAGTTCAGTCAATTCACATGGCTGAAACCCATCCAGCTTTTTGAAAAATGCAGCATCAGGATCCTTTGCAGCAGCCATCTATAGCCAAAAGATTTCCAGAAACCATAGTAGAAACAATTAGAAAAAAAAAAAAGCTGAAACCATATTAACAATGATTAAAAAAATGAAATTCAAACAGCTCACCGAGTTCAATGTTTGATCCAACCGATATACAGGGAAACCGAGAAAATACATCCCAGCAGATGTAACCTTCCCTGTTTTTGCACTGTCCTCCTACACCAGAAGTATATATGAATGAGCAACTTAAACAAACACGACAAAACAGGCATATGGCCCGGCCATTAGGAATAGGCATAATCAGACCTGTTTTTTACATATCTCGCGTTATTTGGGACATGAGAGGAACAATTTATGTATAGGAAGCATCACCAAAGATCCCAATCATTATATTGCAGCTGATACGAAAAAGTAATTCTTACGCATACAGCAGGCCATAACAAAAAACCATCAACTCTAGCCCCATTTTTATTCTCCCTTCCACACCTCCAACTCCAAAGTAAAATAAATTATGTAAGAAGATGGTATTAACATGCAACCTTGATTAACTTCATGACTGTAACTCAAAGCAATACCATGCTCTTATAAGATAATAAATTGTCCCATCTTAATTTCTTCCTATCTGACAGGCAGCTCTATATCTTTAGTTCACAGTCATAGGAAGGAGCACATTATGGTTCCTTGCTACATTAGTGATCCACAACACAACAGAATTGAAGATAAAAAAGTCTTGGTACCTGTAGGCAAAGGCTCAATCCACCAGTCTCTTCCTGATCAAAATACAATAACTGCAAAACGACAATTATAATTTATAAGAACAGAACATAAAGGAAATAGTTACTTAGAGGGTAGTTTCCAGGGAAACCACGTGCAAAGAGATCTAAGTTTTAACCTTGAACTTGCTTTTGTCAGACGACTGCACTTGGCACACAAATCCAGCTCTAGCGTCCGCTTCCGTTATTGTAACAGCATAGAAGTGAGCACATTGCTTTTCAACCTGTTAAAATACAGAAAAATAAACAAATAAATGAATTGCCCACTATAATTAACTGAATAACCAGGCAAAATACAATGGAAAACTTACCTTTTTTGTTATAGCCTGCCCCAATGGAAGTGGACGGATAGTGACTACGCCATTTAGTGCCTCCTCCAAGACAGTAGCTGATACGGTGGTCTTTATTGGCACCCCAAGTTTACTGATGTGTAAAACATTAATCCATATACCTCATCAGGAATTTTTTCACAAGTTCAGACAAGAAAAAAAAAAAAGCCTAATATAAATAAACCAAACCTAAAAAGGGCTGCAAACATGGTATTTACAGCACCCAAACTTGAAAGATCTAGCTCCAAGTCTTGACTTTCTGATTCAACAGCCTAGGAAACCAACAAAGCAATCATGTTCAGCAACAAATACTACCTGAGGATAAAATGCATCTATGTAATCCTAATGAAATGCATGCTAACAGAGAGGGAACAACTGCAATCTCAACAGCCCTAAAGTATGGGATGAACATTAAACAAAGGTGACTGAATCTTCAATAGTTCACAATATTAAGCACCCCAAAAATATCTCACCTGAAAGCCAGCTGTGTCATACTGGCGCCGTTTGTCTGGATCAGACAAGATATTATAAGAAAAGGTGACCTCCTTAAACATATCAGCTGCTTTAGGGTCATTTGCATTTTTGTCGGGATGGTACCTGAATGATACATTGTTAGCATTATTAATATTCTTTTCTCTTTTACTCTACAAGATTTGAACCCACTCAAGACACCCAACTACCATCTGGACTAAGGTCCAGCACATTTTCAAAATCCTCGACATTATACAAGAACATAGCAATAAGATTATCAAGGCAGAACATATAAGAATGTGGAATTTTTATGCAGTACCTTATCCCTTTGGATAAAAAGAATAGTCGATTTAAAATCACATTTTTACTATAAAAAACGCATTAAACTGAACGAACAAGGTATCTGAGAAATTTCTATTTTTCTACTGTTAAATTGAACACCAAAACATCTGAAATTCCATTGTCAGAACTATTTATCTAACATAGAGAAGGCAATATGAACCTCGCGAATTTGTGCCACATGCCTACAAACAGATTTCACTTAAGAAATCTGAGACTATCAAATTATTACCTTAAAGAATTTTTGCAAAGCTTAGAAGATAGTGATTAACACACCTATGCAAATATCAGAAAACCTTTAATTTTGACCTAAGCCTTCACCAGAATATCAGGAAACCTAAGACGCTCTCCGCAACCAATCATCAGTACACCAAGAAACCTCCACTTCCAGCTAGTAATAATTCCAGAAAAACCTTAACGTTTATCTTTGTGCTCATCTAAGTTACGTTTGAAGTCGAACTTGGAATTAGGCAAATTATCAGCATTTATTGCAACAATAAGGTATCCCCAAACAAAAAATTGATATTTAAAAAATCTAAGCAACCAATTTCACACACTGATATACTCAATTAGAACAGCTAAAACTCAAATTTTAAACAATAAATAGAAATAGTTACAAACATACAGAAAACATAAGCTCAAACTCGTAGAAAAAATCAAGTCCAACAGTGCCTCAGAACTTAGGAGCTGAGAAAAAAATGAATTCAAATGAAAATTAACATACTTGAGAGCCATTTTTCGGTAAGCGCTTTTGATTTCCTGGTCGGTGGAATTCCTAGTGACACCAAGGACGTCGTAAGGGTCTCGCCGGAGCTGCTTCGTAGCTTCATGCTTCTCCGATTTCGATCGGTTAGTCGGCATTTTCGAATTAACGGCCGATTTGTTCACAAAACCCTAGAAATGCCTACAGATACCTCTGAAAAACCGAAATTCACGATTCTGAAGTGGAATTTTCCCTCATTTTGGAGAAATTTATCGGGAAATCAGCTGTCACACAGCACTGGAACATGGGAAAACCCTAGAGAACCAGGAGGGAGAAAGACTCCATGCACATCCAAGCTGAGGAGACAGGCGGAGAGAGAGAGAGAGAAAGAGAGAGAGAGAGAGAGAGAGAGAGCAGAGAGCAGAGAGAAAGAGACAAGAGAGGACGAGAAATTGGAGGGGGAAATTAGGTGTCATATTGTTATTATTGTTATTATAATGTTAACTTGTGAGGAATTTGAAAACAAGTGGGTTACTGATAATGTACGCCGGGTGCGCAATACGCATCGGGAAAGTTGACGCCCTTTCCTAGCCGGGTAGCGCCTCGCACGCGACTTGCACGTGCGGTGTGGCGCATAAAATCAAAAGACGTATGCGCACTGCGCACATGTGCGCACGTTAGCTGCACCTCTTGGTTTTCAAAAATGGCTCGCAGGGGGCTGGGTTGGATGATTTGGCCATAATCAATGCTAAAAAGCAAAGTATTGAACTCGCAATCAGTGGGGTGGATTGAGTTAGAAACCTGACCTCAAACTTTGATGGATTTTTTTATTTATTATTTATTGTAATTACTAATTAGCGTTGAGACTTGTATTATTTATTTATTTGCTTTTATTTTATGGGAAAATGATTAATACTATGATTTATGGACCCTTAAAATAAAAGCATGAAATCACGGTCCAGCTTATTACGGTGTGACATGCCATCATATCATACGCTTGCTTCCTATCTGGAAAAAGAACA